GCTCACAAGAAAATAACCTCAAACTTGTATCATAAGGGTGAATATAGGTTTTTAACACTTACCCACTACTGTCACTGTTTCAATAACCAATAGCTGTTCTGTCCACTAATAAGTACAACCCATAAACTCTCGTGTAAACTTGACTGAGTGTGTGTATGTTCTTACTGCTAAGTGTCAACTGAAGAATTTTGTATCATTACATCTACCAAACTAACGACAGCCTGTGATTCACGTGTGTACTCAAATAAACTAACCATTACAGTAGAAGCAATTTCCCTTCATTTGTTCCACATACATGTTTATTCCAGCACACCATCCTTCAGTACAAGATGTGGATAGTGAAGTCCAATTGTAGGTTAATAACCTAATTAATGCTAATATATCCCATAAAGAATTATGTTACTCTGAGTGGTCACTTAATATTTAATTAAGTCTGTTAAAACGTATCGATTTGCAAGTTACTGCTATAAGCTGATACTTATGAAGTGGAATAACACATGCCTGCGAATTTAAACTTCATAAAAGTTGTTTTGGCTTTTATAACAGGTTTCCCATAATTCAGCTATGCAGATTTTGAAAATATTTATTTTTTCTATCATGTAAGGATTTTCTACAAATCAGGAAGAAAAAAATTATTACTTAGATCAAATTTCATTTAGCACAATGAACATTTTTTATTATTATGTTTGTTAACAAAAATACAAACAAACTGAAGATGAGGGAAGAACACTGATGTCAAATGAATATACATCCTCATTCATCCTGATTTTTTGTGAAATCTTCGTCTTTTACTCTCAGAACTACATACTATGCATCTCGTTTGAATGACCAGCAGTAATCAGTCATCATGCTGATGTTCCAGCTTCCCCAATACCTCCTCTCCATTTCCCTGATGTCTTTTCCTCTTGTTCTTCTCTGACAGCACCGAGGTTTTCAGTCAATATGCGAGTGTATGAAATACACTTTCAAGCTCATATTACAACCCAACCCTTTGAATTTATCAAGCATATTATTCACAATATTTTATTAATTTTAGTCGTTGTTTCCTAAATATTTGTCAATAACATCTTTAAAGGCAATCCACACTTGTTTTTCAACTTTCCTCATTGTCCTTTTCGAACTGTTCATCAAAAGTCAATTTCCTAATCTGAGGCCCAACAAAAATTCCTTCAAGTTTCTCATCTGAAAGAGCTGGAAATTGCTCACATATATACTTGAAACAGTCACCATCTTTGTCTAAGGCCTTTACAAACTGCTACACCAAGCCCAGTTTTATATGAAGTGGAGGTAATAGGACTTTCTTTGTGTCAACCAAACTTTCACATTCAGTGTTTTCGATCCTGGTATCAGGCTGACTGCTTCTTTATCCAGTGCTGATTTTGTGCTCTGCTGTCCCATTCACACAAAAAACATGGAAACTTTGTATAACTGGATTGTTGACCCAACAACATATAAAGGACTTTTAAGTCCATGTTCTTTATATTTGACTTTATTAAGAATAAGTTTGAGATTTTTGTATGTTTCCTTCAAGTGAACCAAATGAGCAATAGGAACAGATGCATATATGTTACCATTGTGAAGGAGAACACCTTTTAGTAC